TAGAAGCCTTATTATTATTTTTTACCTTTTATATAAATCTACAATCCACTTGGAATGGATTTTTGCTTATTGGGTAAAGCGTAGTCAAGATTTTTTTTTTTTTTTTTTTTTACTATGTGGATATCCATTTGCCTCAGTATTATTTGTTGAAATAACTGTCCCTTTTCTAAAAAAGACATTTTTGTCATAAATCAAATGTCCATATGTTTGGTTTGTTTACAGACTACGTTCTTTTCCATTGTTCTGTTGGTCTGGTTTTTTGCCAGTACCGTTACTGCCTTATTTAATATAGCCTTTCTAAAAGTCTTTTTTTTTTAATTTATTTTTAATTTATTTTTTGGTGACATTGGTTAACAAAATCCAGTAAGTTTCAGGTGTACAATTTAACAATAACGCATATATGGATTTTGTGTTCCCCTCCCATAGTTTGATTTCCTTCTGTCACATATTTGACCCCTTTTACCCCATCGACCTCCCTCCTACCCCCTCCCCACCTACCCTCTGGTAACCACTAGTCTACTGTTCATGTCCATGAGTCTCTGTTTATTTGTCCTGTTTGTTTGTTGCTTGTAGGTTTATACCCCACATATAAGTGATGTCATGTGGTTTTCACCTTTTTCTGTCTGGCTTATTTTGCTTAGCATGATTATCTCGAGGTCCATCCATGTTGTCACAAATGGCAGTATTTTATCTCTTCTTATGGCTAATATTCCATTGTATATATGTACCTCCGCTTCTTTAGCCAGTTATCTATCATAGGACACTTCGGTTGCTTCCATGTCCTGGCCACCATGAATAATGCTATGAACATCGATGTGCAATATTTTCAGATATGAGTTTTCAAGTCTTTTGGGTAAATACCCAGTAGAAGGATTGCTAGATCATATGGTAGATCAATTCTTAGTTTTTTGAGGCACCTCCATACTATTTTCCGTAGTGGCTGTACCAACTTGCTTGATATCCAACTTTGTTTTTTGAAATTTCTTGGCTGTTCTTGACTATTTGCATTTCCATTTAAATTTTAGAATCAGCTAATCATAAATCTACCAATAAACATGGAGAGAGTTAACATTTTTATGTTATTGAGTACTCTAATCTATGAACATGGTTTGTCCCTCCATCTACCTAGATGTTCTCTCATTTCTCTCAGTATTTTATAATCTTATGAATAGAGATCCTGTACATCTTTTGTTAGATTTATTCCAGATGTTTGGTGTTTTTTGTTTGTTTTGTTTAAACATTTTTCACAGTTCTGGAGGCTGGAAGTGCAAGGTCAGTGTGCCACATGGTCAAGTTCTGGTGAAAGCCCTGTTCTCGTTTTCACATAATGGTGTTATCATTGTTTCCTCACAAGGCTGAGAGAGAGAGACGTGATTTTTTGATGCCTCCCTCTTTGAGATTTGGCACCACAAATCCTCACTGCCTGGAAAGCTCTCTTACTCTCAAACTTTTTTCTCAATATATTTGTCTAGCTTTATTTACAATAAGAAGGTTGCCCTAAAATAATCTAGTTTTCTATTTCTGGATGTGGCATTCTTCCATTTTATTTTTATTTATATGTTGCTTTTATTTTGTTTCTATCAGATGGAAAATTATTGTTCTTTTTTAAAAGTTATGTATTTTTATTTGAAGGTGATTTTTTTCACCTTCATTTTATTTTTTATTGAGGTGTAATTGACATGCAACATTAGCTTCAGATGTACAACATAATGATTCAATATTTTATTTTTATATATTGCAAAATGATCACAGCAATAAGTCTAGTTAATATCCATCACCATACATAGTCACAGAATTTTTTTTCTTGTGTCGACTTTTAAGATCTACTCTCTTCGTAACTTTCAAATATGTGATACAGTATTCTTAACTAGTTGCCATGCTGTACATGACATCCCCATGACTTATTTTTTTGATAGCTAGAAGTGTGTATCTTTTGACTCCTCGTCACCCATTTGGCCCACCCTCCACCTCTGGCAACCACCAGAGGTGACTGTCCTCTGTATATATGAGCTTGATTTTTTTGTTGTTGTTTGTTTTTTAGATTCCATGTATAAGTGAGATCATATGGTATTTATCTTTGTCTGACTTATTTCATTTAGCATAATGCCCTCAAGATCCATCCATGTTGTCACAAATGACAGTATTTCCTTGATTATTTTGGCCGAATGATATTCCATTGTGCAGTAGTCTCCCCTTATCTGATGGGATATGTTCTAAGAACCCATCGAATGCCTGAAACTGGATAATACTGAACCTTATGTATGCTATGATTTTTTCTTATGCATACATTCCTGTGATAAAGTTAAATTTATAAATTAGGCATAGTAAAATATTAACAGCAATAAAATAGAACAATTATAACAACATACTATAATAAAAGTTATATGAATGTGGTCTTTTTCTCAAAATATCTTATACTCACTTTTTCACTTAAAGGAAGCACTTTATGGCTTCTCTTCGGCATATCTAAATTGCCATCATCACTACTCTCCTGCTTTGGGGCCATTATTAAATAAAGTAAAGGTTACTTGGGCACAGACACTGCTGTTTTTCAGAAACGATCTGATAACTAAGTGACTGACAGGCAGCGGGTGAAAGGGGTGATTCACATCCCTGGCAGGACGAAGCAGGATGTGTGAGGTTTTATTACACTGCTCAGGACAGCATGCAATTTTATATTTATGAATTGTTTATTTCAAGAATTTTCCATGTAATATTTTTGGATTGCAGTTGACCATGAGTAACTGAAACCATGGAAAGCGAAGCCGTGGATAAGGGGGAACTACTGTATGACTAAACCTCAGACTTAATTACGAGTTACATATCATGCAACATAAAGCTTTCTAAAATATGTGCTTAGAGTCAGTCTGTGTCTGTGTCTGTGTCTGTGTCTATATATACACCACGTTTTCTTCATTTGTTAATGGACGCTTAGGTTGTTTCCATAGCTTGGCTATTTGTAAACACTGCAATGAAAATGAGTATGCATAAATCATCATGAATTAGTTGTTTTCATTTTCTTCAGCTAATTACCCAGAAGTGGAGTTGCTGGATCATAGTTCTATTTTTAATTTTTTAAGGAACTTTCATACTGTTTTCCATAGTGGCTACACCAACTTACAGTTCCACTAGCCATGCATAGGGGTTCCCTTTTCTCCACATTTTCACCAACACTTATTATTTCTTAACCCTTTGATAATAGCCATTTTAAGAGGTGTGAGGTGATACCTCATTGTGGTTTTCATTTGCATTTCCCTGGGATTAGGGAGGTTGACTGTCTTCATGTACCTGTTGGCTATCTGTGTGTCTACTTTTGAAAAGTGTCTATTCAGATCCTCTACCCATTTTTTAATTGGTTTTTTTTTTTTTTTTTTTTAGTGAGTTGTATGAGTTCTTTATTTTTGGATATTAACCCCTTTTCAGATACATGATTCACAAATAGTTTTCTCATTCAGTGGAATGCCTTTTCATTTTGTTGATGGTTCTCATGGTTGTGCAGAAGCTTTTTAGTTTGATGTAGTCCCACTTGTTTTTGCTTGTGTTGCCTTTTGGTGTCAGATCCAAAAAACCATCGCCAAGACTGATGTTTAGGAGCTCACCTCCTATTTTTTCATCTAGGAGTTTTATGGCTTCCGATCTTACATTCACGTCTTTAATCATTTCGAGTTAATTTTTGTGTATGGTGTAAGATAGTGGTCCAGTTTCATTCTTTTGCATGCGGCTGTTCACTTTTCCCAACACCATTTATGAAGAGATTGTTCTTTCCCCATTGTATATTCTGTTTCCTTTGTTGTACATTACTTGACCATATATGTGTGGATTCATTTCTGGGCTCTTTATTCTGTTCCATTGATTTGCGTGTCTGTTTTTATTGTTAGTACTATACTGTTTTGATTACTGGTACCATACTGTTTTGATTACTATAGCTTTATAATAGAGTTTGAAAATCAGGGAGAGTGATGACTGCTGATTTGTTCTTCTCTCTCAAGATTGTTTTGTCTATTCGGGTTTTTTTGTGGTTCCATAAATTTTAGGATTGTTCTATTTCTTTAAAAAATTTAATTGGAAGTTTTATAGGGATTGCATTGAATCTGTAGATTGTTTTGGGTAGTATAGATATTTTAACAATATTAATTCCTTCAAACCATGAGCATGGAAAATGTTTCCATTTTTTTTATATCTTCAGTTTTGTTCATCAATGTCTTGTAGTTTTCAGTGTATAGGTCTTTCTCCTCTTGGGTAAATTTATTCCTAGGTATTTTATTCTATTTGTTACATTTATAAATGGGATTGTTTTCTTAATTTCTCTTTCTGATAGTTCGTTATTAATGTATAGAAATGCAACAGATTTCTGTATTTTGAATCCTGCCATTTCACTGAATTTAGAGTTCTAACATTTTTTTAGATGGAGTATTTGGAGTTTTCTGTATATAATATTATGCCATCTGCAAATAGTGATAGTTTCACTTCCTCCTTTCCAGTTTGGATGCCTTTCCTTTCTTGCCTACTTAGTCTGGCTAGGACTTCCAATACTATGTTGAATGACCATTACTTTGAATTTTTCATCAGGTCAGTTACTTAATTCCACTTCATGAAGGTTTTTTCTTCTGAAGTCTTATCTTGTTATTTCGTTTATAACATATTTCATTGTCTCATTTATCTCAACTCCCTGTGTTGGTTTCTATACGTTAGATAAAACAGCCATCTCTCCCAATCTTGAAGTGCTGCTGGCTTTGTATAGGAGATGAACCTTATTATTCAACTCTGCCCTAGCTATTGTTTATCGCTCAAACCTTTGTGATTGCCCAAGCAGGCTGTTTAAATCTTTAATAGCGCTCAATAGTTGAGTGTGTGCCAAGAATAGCCAGCATCTCAGCACCTAGATTCATGCTTATTGGAAGCCAGACCCTCAAGCTGCAGCTTTAAAGAATGCAAATATACATAGTCTTGTGGGACTGGAAGTATAAGCAC